AATCCGTTTTTGGAAAGTTTGATCTTCCGGTATTACCACCAACATCTGGAGCAGCAAAACAACACTGCTACAAAAATTTTCATCAAGTTCAGTCTTGGCGTGCGGTAGAACTTCCTGATAGTCCTGCTACAGGTTGGAAATGAAAGAAAAGAGAGGGACAACCGGTGCCAATTCCTACACTTGACGCTTTGGCTCCCGAAAACTTATTGAAGTTGGTATTTTTTAATTGTAAAACTGACTGTGCCCAAAGATGTGACTGTTGCCGAGGGGGACTTTCATGTAGGTGCCGCTATGGGAGGAAAATGCAATGGTGAATTATGCAGCAACAGACCTGCTCCCATGCTAGGTGACGAGGAAGAACAGTCGGAGCTCCTATAGGAATGATCCTTCGCAGCATATCAACGCAGTTTTCTTTCGTTCTAGGTTAAAGTTTGTATAGCTTCAGAAAAGCAAAATGGTGGCGGCTCGAAAAACGTGAAGCATGGTTCCTTCCTAGCATTTTTGGACATTTCATTTGACTGGTTTTGTGATTTACTTTTAAAATAAAAAAAAGTTAGCGAAACTATTTTTTTTTTATTTAATACTTCGAAGATGGCGTCCACTGGCGGCTTCCCACCATCACGCACAAGGTACAAGACTATCAAATTATATTTACTTATCCATAATGTACCTTCGAACAAATTTCTAGCTTTATATTTTGTTTTTAGTTCAAATAGACTAATTACCGTGTATTATCGTGGAATGGAGGCCACGAAAGTCAAAAAGAAACATTGGAAGACCGCAAACAAAATGGCGTGATGACATGCAAAGGATTGCTGGAAAAAACTAAATCCTGGCAGCCCAAGACAGGAACCGTTGGAAGATGATAGAAGAGGCCTATGTCCAGCAGTGGACGGAAACAGGCTGGAACAAGAGGAACTGAACTATCTAATTTGAATGACGTTGTGCAAATTCAAACCTGGCGATTTCTTTCAGAAATCAGTAGTTCACTGGCTTGTGGTCTGCTGGCTGGCTAAAAAATGTCACTCACCGCCTTGATCTACAATATACTATTACCTTGTGGCATATTCAAAATCCAGTCGAGAATACGAAAAAGCTTAATTTTCAGTTCTTCTCGTCGAAAAACATAAAAAAGCTGCGTATACTTTTTTCACGTTAATTGTTTTAAAACGATGTCATTTAACCTTAAGGTCACTATTTAACCTGTGAAAGCAGCGGCCTCTATGAGAGTTTAAAGCCTTTTTAGTTTTAGCGGTTAAAAATTGAACTGAAAACGCATAAATATTCCAGTTTATCATAAAAGACTTCACTTTTGTCCGATACTGTATATACCGGAACATGAAATTCGAATAAATAGAGATAAGCAAACATGTAAATGAAATAGAAGAATTACCTGATACCTAGGTAGTGATGGCGTAGAGACGTTCATTCTGAGAAAAGCATCGGTAAAAGGCATTAAATCTGCTTTTCTGCCATGTAAAACATATAATTTTTTCTTCGAATGTTCAAATTTACACATAGACATCTTTTTTATATTTATTTCATTCATTATCATTATCCAAATAATTAAATTATTTTGACAGTTGTCATTGTCACCATCAATTTCAAATACCAAATTGAGTGAAATTATTACCTGGAACGTTATGACACTGTCATTTTTAATGCCTAGGCAGTAAAAGTCCACTTTTACTGCCTAGGCAGTAAAAATACAACTTTTGATCCTGTCAAGCGTCATTAAAAGGCCGCTTTTACTGTCATTCGGAGAAAAAATATATATTCAGCAGCATTTCAAACGCCGCAGAAAACCCGCCGAATATGACGTCAGTCCCTACATCTAGCAGAAATATACTGCAAATAAGTACGTTGTCAGATTGTCGTTGTCATTGTTAATTTCCAATAAGATTACCTCTAGAAGCCTCGTTTTTATCTTTGCATCAGTTTTTTGTTGTATATTTTGGACTACAGTTATAAAATCAATGTAATTTTTTAAGTGTTAGTAGGTTTAGTTGTAGAACAACAGTTTTTCCAGTGTTGAAAAAGAATTTTTCTAATTTTGACATTTAAAGTGACACTTTTCAAAACTTGTTGACGTTATCAAATGCCTTACTTTTCATCATTAGTTGCAAAAAATACAGGAACAAAATCTATGATACTTTTGGGGCTGAACTACTTGAAGTACTTTGTTGCTGTTATATTCTTTGTACGCACATATTATGAAGATTTAATGTTATTCAAATTATGACAATGTATGGAAAAAAAGTTAGTTATAAATATTGGATACTACTTAACACAATTTGAACAATAATTTATGATATTGACAACATAGTTTTCTGTGTAGCATTAATTAAATGAATAAATTGAATGTTTTTTCCATGGAAGTCTCTTCAAGGATGTTGGACGTTGGTGACAATTTTCTGTTTATTATAATTATAGAATTTTCCACATAGCCCCTAGCGGCTGTACTAGACTTCCACCCCCCATGCATCCCACATAACAAAATTGCATCCTTAGAATGTATTAAGAATGTTCTTTTTTTAGGAGGAATGTGCCTAGAATGTACGCCAAAACCATTGCGAATGTCCTGATAATTTTCTGAGAAAAGATTGTAGAAATACTGTTTGCAATACCCAAGAACTTCCTGGGAAATCCATTAGGATATTCCTAGAATATACCTATGAGATTCTCAGTACGTCCTTAAAAGAATATTCCTGTTTGATTCTAAAAATATGCTCGAAACTTACCTATATTCTCACATTCAAAGAATGTTTCTATGACATTATAGTTATGTTCTCAAAAGAATATTATACCAATATGCTTTAAATATTCTTAGAATATATCTACATATATCGTTCCCAATATGCATCCTAGACATAACATTCTTGTTTGATTCTAAGGATATACTTGGAATGTTTATTTTCGCTTCCAAATAATGCTCGTTTCAGCTCTTTTATATTAAAGGCAGTGAAAGAGTTGTTGGAAAACTTCTCTAGAAAACACGAGTATTCGCAACCAAAGCTCCGGTTTCGAGCTTGTTATGCTCTCATCGAAGCACGCCAATTGAGAGAAACAGGTTCCAGGGTGATTCAAATGCGAGGCAAGATGTAGATCTTTAATAGCGCGTCGCTCCCTCTCTTGGAAGTCATACAAAGCAAAAGGAAAAGAATATACCTATAATATTCTTAGTAGGTTCTAAATAGAGCATTATTGTTTAATCCTACAATTAAGATTTTTGAGTAGGTACCTACTTTAGATAATTAGGTGAACAATATGAAAATATTCTTATCATGGTTACCTACCTACATAAACTTCTCAGCACAACTTGGTAGGTATATTCTTCATACTTCATAGAGATATTAGCTTAAAGAACATTTTTTAGGGTACGTTATAATAATTTTCGTATGAGAATATTCAAATAATGTCATATAAAGTAGGTTCTTAGCACAATCTTTCAGGTAGGTGCATAGAAGCAACATTCCTAGTACAATCGAAACAATCTTAGAATATTCATTGAACATTCATAAAAGAACATTCCAAAAAGTACTTTCAGGGAATATTCTGAGAATATGAATGTTCTTTCACTGTTATGTGGGATTTAATTCTCAGCAAATCATCCACAGAATCTACAAGCAGAGTATATAGTCGATGATCATCGAAAGCAATGACCGGTTCGAGTTGCCAAACTTGACAATAAACAATACTGGCTCCCGGAATAGGAAACATCTCTGAACTTACTTGATGATTTAGAAATAATTATAGAAGAGACATTTTTTATGTTTTTGACTCAAATTTGAATGGATCAGATCATAATAAGCAAAATTAGAAAAAAATATTGTGTGAAACACGTTGGGAAACACTATTTTTCGTAACTCGCTTTCTTTTGCGGAACTCGCTTCGCTCGTTCCGCAGAAATCTGCTCGTTACGAAAAATAGTGCTTTTCCCAACTAGTTGCACAAATAACTATTATGTCACGTCATTTTAGTATCTAGGAATCTCGACATTCAGTTTGGTAACGTTGCGCTGTCTAACAACGTCAAGTAGGTTTTGTTGACCAGCGTTAAACGAACAATATGCAAATGATGAATGAGGAGTTTCATCATTGTCACTCTTCAGAGCTTAGACAAGGAAAGCATATAAAATGTGCGCCAGAGCTATTGTGAACGATTCTTATTGGTCGGAATGTGTTTATACGTCATACAATGGCGCCATTCTAGTACTTTTGAATATGTGGTATGAAAACAGCATTTTTGAAAATTATTTAAAAAAAAAAATAGGACATTTTAAGCCCAACTGGAAGCAAGGGTATTTTTATTTTGGTTAATACAACTGATTAAAGATATTAAAACAGTGAAATTCAAATATGGTGAATATCCCCATTATTGTGAAGATCAATGCTTGGCTCGAATTTAAAAACAAATGATTGAAAATCATATTGAACATCGTTGGATTTTTTTTGTATACCTACCTACCTTATTATGGCAGATAAAAGATCCCTGCTTGCGATAGAGTTTGTTTTTTAAGGACTCAAAAATATAAGCCAGTGCAAATCATTCATCGATCCAAAACATACAATTGAAAATAAAAGCCAATGCAGAAGCTCGCAATTATTTCCGCGAGACACTCTGTATTGTAACGACATCCACCATAAAGGTGAATTTATCATGCTTTTATGGTAAAACTTACGATATGAGTGAATAAAAAAAGCATAAAAATTAACCAATATATTATTATGTACGTAAATATTATCTAGAACTTTTCAGTATTTACTTATGTGACAAATGACACAGTTTGAAAATATACTCACTTTAAGTTAATCTTGTTTATTTTCTGCATTATTCATTTCAATACAATTTTGTTATACCTAAAATAATGGCTTCTCAAGGAATGGTAGTAAATATTGCCAGTTTACCAATAGTAAGTATACACCAATTTTTGAAACAAAATCTTTTATTTTTAAAGGGGTTCAATAAATTACACTTTTAAATTAAAAAAATCAAACGGATCACCTGCACCGTTTTCTTCTACTAGTTCTTTTGCAAGCTCCAGCAGTGCTATCACTAATAATGCCGTTTTGTTTATTAGTTTTTAGTGATTCATGGTTTATTTTTTCTTTTTTGGATATTATGCTATTAACTGCTTGATCTTCTTGTGAAGAAACTACACATGCAGTTAGCTAAAACAAAAATGATAAGACAAAATAATGTAGGAAAAATTATACTAAAGATAAAAACTTACCAATAAAATCCAAATGAGAATCTTTAAAAAATCCATTTAACATCAGTCTTATTCGTTTACTGTTCACTTTTCGAGAACATGAAAATATGCAAAACAATAATTTGATTTAATAGGCTACCAAAGTTATATAGGAGGTACCTATGATTATTTAGTGAATTTCCGAAGCTAATTAGTTTTAAATTTGTCATTGTGGGATTTTTTGTCTCTTGCCTTGTAATTAACTTCCGGTAACGTAGAATTGTTTGATGTTCGATGCAAAATTATTATTCTGATTTAATGTAAGGTACCTGTCCCAAATAAGGCCTTGTTAACAAGTTTTATTTTTTTCCTAACATTATCCACCAAACCCAACCAAAATCACCAGCTTATATGTGAAGTGTTTCGCTTCTAAGTAATAGAAGCGAATATTAACTCCAATTTATTCATTTTTTCATCTAAGTGGTGGTTTTTGCGTAAAACAAAAACGCTTATCATTGGCTATATTTGTATCACTATGCTCCTAATAAGGCCACCATTAAAAAAAGATTAAAATAAATACAAATATTTATAAAAATGTTATTATTTGAGAAATAGTACCTACACAAAATAGAACTTATAGGTACGTTTGCTGCATTCCTAAAAAAACAATAATTCCAAGTCCTGGGATGGTGATCCAAATAGGTCTGCATACAACTAGGACAAATGAATCGCAGCATCTCTTGCTTGGTTAGACTCCAGGCATTTCCAAAAACATCACTCAGATAACAATATGACACATTCTTAAAAAAAAAAAAAAAAATGTGATGTGACGCCAATTGAACATTTTTCGTATGATGGCCTTATTAGGAACCTGTTAAATTGATAAAAAGTCTGTAACTAGAAATCTAGCAAATATATTATTCTGTACTTACTCTGTAGCTTTCTCAATACATAAATGTTCCTTAAAAAATTACAATCGTTCCATTCACTTTATAAAGACGTATAATAAGCTAATTGAGTTTCAGCCTCAAAGTTAGGTATAACATGACATATGAAATATATGGTTGGCCATTTTTCGACATAAACGAGTTGCTAGGAACCCATGCAATAATTTTTTGATTTGCATTATAGATTTCTTTTTCAACAATATTGTAATTTTTGAAAATGGGATTCAATATTAGGCAATAAGGGGCACTGGCCTTATTAGGTACATGGCTCCTTTTGGGACAGGTACCTTATAGCCGCTTGCGAGGCTGAAAATGATATACTTTAGCTTTATTTTTCTACTAACTTTACCTAAACATAACTTCTGCGCAAATTGTACTATTTCGCAGGAGTGAAAAAAAAATAATAATAATAAAAATGCGCATCCTATATCTGAAATTGGTACCTCTGTGGAGTAATGATTGTTGATACTGACATACAGTGTTATTACTTAAGTGTGCAACATCTGGGATTTTTTTTTTAGTAATAGCACAATCAAAATACAAACAAGGCCAAAAGTTGGTGCATGTCTAATAATCGTATTAGGTGCCGGTACTTTTGCTCTCATTTGACAGCCGTTAAAAATAATCAGGGGTTTGAATGTGCTCTAACCACATCATACTTATAGACCTTGGCCCATGCAAAACTTTGACGACTTATCAAATTCGTTAATCGAGAGCAAAATTATCGGCCCTAGGTGCACTTAGAATAGTTGCAAGTCAAACAGCATACAGGGTAGCTCAAAAATATCATAATTGTAGTAATATTCACTTGAATAAAATAAAACTTTTGCACTTTAAGGAGAGTTTTTTTTAAAAGGCTATTATCATTAGTAATGTTTTAACTTGTTAAAAAAAAAATTGCGACATTTTAAAGTTGTGTTGAATATCATTGTTATGTAAAATTGATTTGATTTTAATTAATTTTTGAATGTATTAAGGGCGGAAATAAAAAATAAAAAAAATATAAAAATTATAGATTTTTTTCGATAAAAAATATAAAAAATCTTAGGAGGCTATGTTTTGGTACTTAGGCATAACTTTCAATTCCAAACAACTTTTCTCTATAACATTTTGCTGAATTTTCTAAAATAAGGGTATTTAACAGTACAGCTTTGATATTGTTTGAGCTACCCTGTAAGCTGTTTGACTTGCAATCATTCTAAGTGCACCTAATATGATTATCAGACATGCACCAACTTTTGGCCTTGTGTGTATTTGGGTTGTGCTATTACTAAAAAAAATCCCATATGTTGCACACTTAAAAAATCACACTGTATACTATAATTGATTATATGTACAGAATGGTCCAGTATAAAGTTAACACCCCCTATCTTTCCTCTAAAAAAGTTATTTTTGAAAAATCAAGATAGCTATTTGTTGTATTTTGTTTCTAGGAATGTGAAAACGTTTTTCGAAATTTAATTAGATTTTTCGTTGAAGTGCTATGACGAAAATAGCTATTTTCCTAACGAGTGCGGGAAGAGAAATTTCCGGCACGAGGGTGCGAAGCGCCCGAGTGCCTGAAATTTCTTCCTATTAGGAACTATATTTTTTCTACGAGCATACTAAAGCTGATGTTACGCGTAGTTTAATTTAAATAAAATGCGATTGTGCAGAAGGTAGAATTAAAAATGTATTGAAAGGTATTTATAAAAAAAGGTATTAAAGATAAAGGTAAAAGTGTATTAACAATACAAACAATTCCATGTCACAATGATTATTTCAAACTTTTCCCGCAACGTCACTATTTTTCTCATTTAAAATATACATATATGTTTTGCTTATCTTCCTTTTAGTAATTTGCGATATATTCCCTTCAAAATTTACATGAAAATGGCCGAAAAGTTATCATAAAACATAATAACAGCTAGCTGTTTTAACTTGTTCATGGATCACCCTGTATATATGATATTATCATATATAATATTACAAGAGAAAAAAATTTGTCGGCAAAATTTTCGAAAGGTATGAAAGTTTGTTGTTTGGCAATTTCGCGAATGACATTTTTGACAAAATCACGAGCCATTAGGCGAGTGATTTTATCAAAAATTTCATGAATGCCCAAAAGCAACAAATTTGAATAAAACCTTGAGAACAATTTTACCTACACAATTTTTTCTCGAATGGTATTCGTCATGACTATTTCACGTAAGATTGTGAAAATAAATAGAATGCAAAAATATGAATAAAAACTTCAAATTAAAAATATCTGTTTGACAATGTCAAAAAATGGTCGCTGAAATACCATGTTGTTGGTATTGTCCAGGTAGCATTATTGTCAGGTGAATACCGAATTTATTGCCGGTGTAATACACTCTAGTGAAATAGTCATCCAAAGAACGGCCACTCAAAAATTGACGTGTCCGAGGTTTTTTGAGAAAGTTCAACTCTGTATATTTTATGGATTTTATTCCTTTACGAGCTCACTGTATGATCATAATCTATCACAGATTGCTGTCCTAAAATGTTTTGCCATGTATATCCATAATTGATATTCTGCTCGAAAAAGATGTTCTCAAATTTTCATATTATCATCTGCGCAGAAGATTTTTATAGTGAATGTCCGTAATCATTTATAGATTATTTGTTAAATCGCCTTTCCAAGGGTTCACGGTATCGGGTTTCATTCTGAAATATGTATGTCCCTAAAACTCGGACGTCTCTATTTCAAACTCTTGAAGATTGTTTTAAACCATAAATGGCTCGTTTCAACTTTAGAACCTTGTTTCCATTTGCTATATCTTGGTTATATCCTTCAGGAATTTTTATATAGACATCTTTCTTAAGATAACCATTCGCCATTCAAAAAAGCAGTTTTTTACATCAAAGTATCAAATATCTAATTTCAACTGAATAGACAAAGCAAAACTAAACGTGGAGCATGTCTAACTACCGGTGCAAAAGTCTCGTCATAATCTATAGGTACCAGAGGTTTCTGAGAGAACCCTCTATAGCTACTAAACGAGCACGAACACCCACTCACCACCAACCAAAGGAACATTTTTTGGCATATCACTTACCACCCATGCATCATTCTTTTCGAATGACTGCAATCCATTACTGATGACACATTTCCATTGCTCGGAATGTCTCAGTAAAGCTTCTCTGAATATCAATGGGTCAATGGGGTCTTCTAGATAGTCAGTATAGTTTTCACGCACGTAAATGATACATAGTCGTCCATATTCTTAGGCTAAAAAAAAACGGGTCCCTTTATTTCTAGTTTGGCACATTTTTCCGGCCTTTTCATGGAATTTACCCCTCTCTTAAGGGTAGAAACTACCCCCAACTTTTTTTTTTTAAAGGGTAGAGATATGTATTGTTATTGGAATTGGCATAAAAAAAGGAAAATGACCCATTATTTACTTTTGCATTTCGGTGATCTAGAAAGCGAGAAAAAAATAAAAACATATTTTTTCCACCCAACTTTTTTACAGTTAAAATTGTTGAATATCTTCAGCATTTCTTCTTGGTAGAACCCTAATACAAAATAAGCCCCATTTCCAACGTTATGTAATTATTTCTGACGTTAACACACTATTTAATGCCCGATACTCGGATTCTCAACCCTAAAATAGTGTGTTATTGTCAAAAATAATTACATAACTAGATCACCAAAATGCAAATAGTTTATTTACATGTTATATACGAAACTCGCCTGCGGCTCGTTTCGTATCCTACGACATGCTCGTGTATTAATGGCTATCATTACATGATCATTGCATACACTATTTTTTCTACTCACATCAATAACCGAAACACATATTCATTTATATGTCGACAACGATAACATTGAATAGGTATCTTTTTTGATTACATTTACCTTGTCACTGTGGAATTCAGTCTTTCATTAGCACAACCAAATCTGTTACCTGTGCTTTTACCTCCACCAGATTCACTTTGACGTCCGTTACCAATTTTTCTGATAGACTTATCAGCCAAAAAAGCATTCCCTGCTTTAGGGCCAAATTATGGACTGACTGGTAAACGTCTG